TCATAGGAGAAAGAAGGTCCTTGCACCCCAGCTGTCCTGTGATCTCATTCAATAAGTGAGAGAATTTATTGCATAACTGTGTTCACCAGCCCTCCTTTTTATGATAAAATGTAACAAACCAGATTTTTTTTGTGTGTTGCAAAACAAGTACAGTAGATACAACAATGAGTTCTCACTTTCTTGTGCACAGGTGCAACAGGTGGCAGAGACAGGGACGTGCCAATTCAAGCTGAGTGTTAAAAGGCATGCATTTCATTTGTGAACAAGTAAGGATACTGCAATAAGGTCCCAGCATGGGGGAGAAACCAGGTGGAAATAGTTTCACTGTTTCACCATGGGGATATAGTGACACTAATCCACTCAAAAATCCTGTTTACGGAACTATTAGTTCTGAAAATTTATTTTCTGGAACTGTGACTTTCCAGAGCTTCCTCTAAGATGATTTGTTTGTTTGTTTGTGTTCAAATTCCTGCACCTATCTGAAAAAAAAAATTATATATAATTTCATTGAATGTAAATCACTACCACTTTTTAAGTCAACCAGAGAGGCTCTGGAGCACATATCTCCTAACAGCTGGTCTGTCCATTTATGTCCAGGCTGATACAGGCATTGGAATGCCATGGTCCCTGTATTTCCCTATGCCTAGATGAAGCAGGTGAGAAGTCAGAATTCAGTTTTACGAGAATTGGCCCAATACCCACAAGTGAATATCACCAGCAAAAGAAACAGTCTCTTAGGGAAAAAAAGTTGTCTTCCTTCCTCTATGGATATAGCTTATTTGTTCAAATGGAGCTGAACAAGTAAATAAGTAAGGAGAATCTCACTAAACTGAGTAGCTAATACAAAAAATACATGAAGCATCACAAGTAGCCCAACTTTGTTCAGGTTTCATCCAAACTGAGAGCTAGAGGAACTGTGGTAATACAAGTTCAATTTTACTATCACTTACTAAAATTCCAGTCTGATAAGTTATATTTGACTATATGTACTAACATAACTGAGTTAAAATTTGAGAGATACTTTACCTACTTGGTCTCCTTCCACATCTCATTTTTTATCCCATGTGCTGTTAGTATACTCCACAGAGGCATGTATCTTTAACCTGAAAGTGTATTATTTTCTCAAAGTCTTCACTAACTAGCAATTCACCAGTTAAAAACTTAGTAAGTCTTGTCTGGACAATCCAGAAAAAAAAAGATCAAGTAATTAAAAACCTGAGCTACATTCTGTTTGCTTCTTCTCTGCATACATGCAACTTTTCAACAAATCCTTCTTTTTAGAGACTCACCATGGGAAAATTTGAAAATAAGAAATATATTTGCAAAATGCTAGAGCAGAAGTACAAGCCTTAGCTACGATGCACAACTAAAAGAGTACACAGATCCCTCAAATACTGTTAAATACTGTGCCATTTTCAGGACTGAAGGTAGTACAGGTGGGTGCACAGTGGCACTGAACCTAATACTGCTTCTGAGAGCTCAGTTAGTATCCCTCCAGAGTACTGCACTGTGCCAGGGAGATAAACCATTTCCATTAAAATGCCTTCAGTTTTAGTAATATTACACTGAATTGAATAGTTGAGACATATCCAAAGAGAGTTTAAAATAGATTGTAGAGAGCAATGGGATCTCATAAGGGACAGGCAGTGGGTCACAACAAATTTCAGGTTTCTCATCTCAAAATTAATCATAATTAATTGAAGAAAGGATAAATTTTCAGAAAAGTGAGTGAAAGGTTGGGGGAAAGTAGAAATTCCAAGTCATGTCTTGGGATACCATGTATTTTTATATAAGAAGGGAATAATTAGGGCCAGGTTAAGAGAGAACTAGAAAGAAAATGAAAAAACAAGTTTTGAGTCCGCTCTGAGGAATCTCTTAACATCCATGATCCACCCTTTGTGTATGAGATTGTTCCTGTCTCACACTTCCCAGCTGTGGTACTTTCACCCTGTAGGTTGTCAGTGCAGCATCACAGCCTCCTTCCTCTTCAGGGACCCCATGAAGCACGTGTAGCTGACAGGGGCCCCCACAAGATGCACTTGGTCTGTGAGGAGAGGGCACTGCACTGTGCTAAACCCCATATTCATACAAGCATCTTCAAAATCTGTCATGTGCTAAAGCCTGTATATATGCCCTGCCATCACATGAGCTGGCACACACTCCTAGAAGGAAAAGGCCAAAGAGATAGAATGATCCCCACCTCTGCCTTCAAACTTCAGAATTCTCTTTTTCCCCTCTCTGCCACCACCTGTCCTCACCAGACTGGTGGGAGGAAAGAATCTTTGTTTTTTTCTGCTGCTAGTTCACAGAATCAATTAGGTTGGAAAAGACCTCTGAGATCATTGAGTCCAACCTATGACCAAACACCAGGATGTTGACTAGACCATGGCACTAAGTGAAGGTTTCCTTAAACACCTTCACAGATGGTCTGATTTTACCAGACATCTCCATCACCTCCCTGGACAGTCCATTCCAATGTCTAATCACCCCTTCTGTTAAGAAATTCTTCCTAATGTCCAATCTAAACCTTTCCTGGTTACAGCTTAAGACTATGTCCTCTTATCCTGGTTACACAGAAACACAGTGTCTCTCCTCACGGCTAGTAAACCATTACATGTACAACTCTTCAGGAAAGATAAGGTTATAAATTAAAATAAAAATAAGGGTTGAAAGGTCAGACTTCCCTGGCAGTTTCATCCAAGCTGCCAAAGCCTGCCTAGTGCAAAACTGGCTGCTGAAGAGTTTCCCATTCTGCCTTTCACTGGCACTTTCCTGTGCTGGATCTGCTGGACATGAAATGGGAAAGGAATGACAGCTGTTTTGGACATTTATATTATCCCTGGCTTAGATCTGTTCAAAATCTATTTATTTTGCTAGAAAAATGCAAAGAGGCCCTGGCAGCCAACAGAAAATTAATTATTTTGCATACATTGTGTAACACTATTCATTAGTTTTACATGAGTGGTGAGAGGTCAGTCAGGAATAGAATCCCATTGTGCTAACCTTCAAAGAGCTTGCCATGTAATTGAATGGAATAAAGGAATTAAATATGCAGGCAGAATTAACACTAGCGGTTAGCAAACAGCACATTGCAAATATCTACAACTTCTTTGTCTAAATTCTGGAGTTGAGATCTTGGGGGAAGGTGATCAGACAAGCAACAAAAACAAAAACAAAGAAGAATACTGAGGGGATGTGGATTAAACACATGCAGAAAGGAGAAGCATAGTGGTATCTGAATGCTATAGTGTATCCAACTTCATGTGTATTAGCACACAGACTTACAACATATATTATGCACCAGTCTACATGTGCCTTTCTGCTGTTGTTTTCTGTATAGAAAGCATGCCATATATAGGGCCACATAAGAGACATTTTAGAAAATGTGGTAAAGTTCTGACCATATATATCACACAGCTCGCTTTTGTTCTGCAAAACGATGAGAACACTGGGAGTCAGTATGGTATGATTTAAATTTGAAAATAGCTCCCCAGAATCTGCCGAATACATTCAGAGTTAACTAGCAGGAGAACATCACCATTCAGTGTTCTGGGTCCATCTGTTGGCAATATCATGATGGAAACAGCTTTTTAAATGCTATTTTCAATAAGCTATCACATAACAGCTTGTTCCAACAATATTCCAATACCTTTCTGTTTGTTTGCTATAAAAAACAGCTCAGAGGGAAGGAGGCATTTCAGTACTATACTGATGTAGGGTGGGAGGGACAGAGACACTACAGGAACAAGCAAAGTGAGAAACAACTATAAAAAGAAAAAAGGAGAAGAAACTGTTATTTTAGGCCTCCTGCGATCTAGATTTAAACCAGAATGTGGAACCCAAACTACAGTAGTGTCAAGAGAGGGATGGTCTGCACCCACCAGTCACTACAATTATTGTGCAGTGACAGTGTCAGCCACAGGAAACTCAAGGGCTCCTAGACTCAAATGGCTAGTACACCTAGTGATTGATTACCTTCAACTCTGCAAGACTTGCTGAACTGTGTGCTCCAGTGAGTACTGAAAGGAAGATTCACCTCAAACATTGTAACAGTTGTGTGGTACCAAAACAATCTGTCCTATATAATTCTTCTGAAAATATCATGTATCCGTCAGCTTACTTCTCAAGTAAAACAAATGCCAGGGACATGCTCAGTAATAAAGAAGAGATGGTTGCATTTGAACCCAGTAATTGGTAGGAGAGGAACAGAAGTTCTTTTGGTTCACACCAAAAAGTTTCACAATTATTCAATTAATCATGCAGTTGTCACAGCTAGCTTTGGCACACCTAATATCACAGCTTTTTAAACAAGGAACTAGATCATCCCAAGGTTTCTTCTGACCTATGTTATCCCATGATCCTGTGGTTCTAAAATGAACTGCTCTGTGTTAATTACCTCTATACCACCAAATCAAGGCCTACAATGTATTTCTTGTAAAGTTTTTATTTTTAAAGGCTGTAGTCCTTCAAGAATCATAAGGAGCACTCAAGTTTCCAACAAATTATGCATCTTGTTTCCCAAACAGTATTAGAAATATGGATAGTTGGGAAGGATGAAAGTTGAGAAAAAATACTATATAGGAAGGTAAACTAAAGAAGCTATGAAACATTGTAAGTTTATGTAAACGGAGATGCAGAAAGAGGAAAGTAAACCTGAAAAAGCCATATGGAATTAATAGTGATAAGATCAGAACATATACTGGAAAGAAAACTAATAGTATGTAAAATTACAAAATATTGCATAAGGACTTCATAATTAGTGCTACAAGAAAAATGTACTGCTAGCTCTCTGTACATTCGGGCTCATTCATAAAATATTTTATCTTCTCCTGCTATCAAGATTGCTTCTTAAATACAAAACATATTTTGTGCTCTGTTTATCTGTCTTTGGTCTACTTGCATGCATAAAGCAATAACACCCTCTTAGAACGCATGCATCATAGCCTGCTATTAAAACAAAAATTACAGCTAATGAGAGGATGCTTATGGTGAGCACCTACCTGAGGACGTATAACTTTCACTATGTTTTTAAGTGCAGTGTCTGGTGATGGAGGAGAGCAGTCAGGTGTTGGGCCTGTAGAGCTGTTTCTATGGTTACCAGATCCTGGTGCGGTAATTGCTACCTGAGGTGCATTATCTGTGAACAAAAATAAAATTTATGTGAACTTACAAATACTTCATACGTTTTAAAATAAAAAGTAATTTTGAAAACAGAACACTGTTTTAACTTACAAAACCTATTATAATTTAAATATATTTGCTAAGGAATATATTGCATCTCTACACTTATTTTGTCAATGCATACATTCATTCTATGTTAAGGCAAGATACACCATTCTCTCAGTACCTAAACAAAATGAAGTAGAAACTAAGCACAAATATTTTACTTCCATTACCTTGCATTAGCAACTCTGAATCCAAGTACTATCACAACAGGGGTGACTTGAAAGGGAAATTTATAATGCAACTCCTACCTCATCCTGCTAAATCATAACACATAGAACCCAGTCCAACATGTTATATAACAACAGCTTTCCTGAACATTGTGATCAGAGTAACTGACCAGCAAATATTAATTACATGAAAATATACTCAGTTTCTCAATTAAAATTTGCATCCTCCATAGAGCACTGCACTGCACTGCACTAGCTACCTTTCCAACAGTATCTCAGCTAGAGAACGTACAGATGGCTTAAAAATGTCTACAAACATGTGCATGTACATGGAAAAGTGCTGTCTGGACATATTTTGCTCTTAGCATTTTATGGCACTGTGAAGGACCATTAAGAGGACTTAAAATATCATTCTTACCTTCTCTAAATGTTCTTAGTGCTTTTTGATCAATGTAAAGTTAGTGAAAATTAGATCATAGTATAGAGAGGACTACGAAATAGCTACGAAATAGCTGTGATTGTAGCTGAGCACCAGAATGACTTAGCAGGAGGCCAAAAACTCCACATTACTTCATGCCTTTAGATTTGTATCAGTAAAGAAATGCTTTAGTTCAGATTCTGGGGAAAATGCCATTGCCTGTGCATGGCTATGTTGGTCTTTACAGTGTCTGTAAATTTATCAATTACCTTTCTTTGTCAATCACAAAGACATGTGCTCATGCTCCTAAATGTACTGTAACAGCTGTGGCTCTGCTTTAAGACAATGATTACATTCAAATCTTATGTGTGTGGGCCTCAACTGACAACCTGCAGAGTTCACAGAAGAAAGGTAATTTACTTGTGATTGCAATGGTTCTCCAACATGTGCTTCCACTCTGTGGACAAATCATCTCCAGAAGAACCCAAACACCAATAAGCAAAAGCAGTTCTCTTAAGCTGGAGAATTTTTGCCTGACCAACTTCTGCAGGTACACACATAAGCTCTTCCATCTGCACAAGTCAGAAACACCTTTGCGAAAGCCATGACAGAAGCTTCTCCCTACTACCTGAAAGAATTCTTGGAAGTGTAAAAGAGAGATCGAAGGGAAGGAAATATCCAGTTACATTAACATAAGATAAAGACGAATAGTTTCAAGAGTGTAGACTTGATGGTCTTTCCAACTTACAGATACTTTCATAGCACAGATGATTCTAAGATACACTTCCTGCAGAAATACTGTGTAATCGGATGAGGTCTTAAAGTTTCTAATCAAATACAGACTGACAAATTACTCTTCTAAAATAACATCAGGCTGGAATGTTTCAGCAATACCATTACACTTATTGAAAGTGCAAACAAAAGTTCAGATGGCAGTTCGGCAGACACTGAGAATGGAGACATCCTGTAGATAACCACAGGTGTTACCTGACATCTGACAGTCACCCTCCCTGTTGCAGAAAGACAAGTCCAACTCTTTTAAAAAGTATCTCATCAAAACTGCCAGTCCTTTAGGTATGCAGTCTTAACACACAGATCAGTTCTTCCTGAACCATTGCAAGTGTGCACAGAAATCCTGAATCTGAAGTAATTTATTTCAGAAATTAATAAATATGTGTTAATACAATGAGTCAAAAAAATTTTTACACCGTCTTAGAAAGGAACTTACAGTAAATCCTCATAATAACATACCCGATGTGGAAGATTCTTGATAGCATTTCAGAAAGCCTTAAGTCCCTCTTATGCCTTCCCATCTGACCTGATCCCTAACTTTAAACCTGGTCATGTGCACCATGCAAATGAGTATTCTGTGATTTGAAAGCCCAGCTCATCAAAGGAGGGATAGCGATTTGACAAGAAGAGATCCCCTAAAGCCTTGCCATACTCTGAAAATCTCATAGTGAGGATGAAGTGTTAGTAGCACCTTAGCTGAGCTGAAAGTCTCAGCCTCTTTTGCTCCAGAATATGAAATATTATCTTCTTTCACTCTATGGAGAGACTCATCAATAGATAACCATCCATGAATCTCCTGAATCAGAGAGCTGCTTTAAGAGAGTTCTGCACTGTGCTTGGGCAAATATTAAACAAGGGACTATACTGCTGTCAAAAAATGTGGGAATACAGGCACCATCTGGAAGGTAAGAAGTACATTCTAGAGTGAGAAATGCTCCACATGAGTCTAGCTAAGTGTACTTATTGCACTTCTTTACTCACTAGTGCGAGAAACAAACAGAATTATTGTCTCTGACAAACAGCTAAATCTATAAAGAGCACAAACTCTTCTGCAAACTACTTCAGCAGTCCCTGGCCCTTTCTGTTACTATTTCCCTGGGTGAGCTTAGCACAGCTGCCCTTGAGCTATTTAGCACACGAAAGCCTTGCAAGTGAAATCAGGGAGTCTTGCAGATGCAGAAGTATCTCTAAGATGGATCACTCAAAGGACAGAGAGAAATACAGACTGGTGCTGTTGGTAACAAATACAGTTGTCTGCCCACCAGTTTATTCAATAATCACCTCAGCTCAATTTAACCACACTTTAAGAGGTTAATAGAGGGATCAAGTTATAAGAGTAAGATTTTTGTCTTTGCATAGGAAAGACTTCTTGTTGCCCCTGCTCAATGGTAGCTCACTGAAGACTAGGTTTTGCCCATAAATACAGTCCCACACAAGTGGCATCAAACTGACTGGGAATGATGTTCTTGGAAGGGAAATTTATTTGAAGTCGTTCATGAGGGGAGGAAGGGCTGTTATATGCTCCACTAGACAAGTGGAGAAGAAGAAATTCTTCAACTACAGTGTGTGAGTACAACCATAACCAATTCAGCAATGTACACAATATGCAGCAATCTCAGAAAAGAGTAGTTACAGTCTTTCCTTCCAAGCAAAATTAAGTGGCAACACAAAAAGAAAAAAAAGGATCGTGTTTTAGAATCTAAAAATAAAACTTTGCAAAAAGAAGCTAAATATTTTTCTTTGAAATAAACAACCCAGAAAAAAAAATCCAACTGCTCAGTACTTCATACCTTCCCTCATTTCTCAACAGGATAAGTGTCTGACATGTAATGGTTCCTTGTAAACAATTTCTTTATTGTGGACAGCTGTTTATTTTCACAGTAGGATCTTCCCATTAGGCAACCAATAATGATTTATTACCTGGGTCTCCATCAGAGAGACAATATCACCATCAAATAAGTTCCTGCAACCAATTTGGAGGATTTGTCTGTTTATGTATACAGTACTCGTAGTTTCATTAAAAATATATTTAAATGTATTTTCTTTTGTAATTAAATTATATAATTTAATTTTCTCTTTCTCTGGTGACAAAACTAAAGCAAGCTTCTTTTTCCCCTTTCGGTAACCATAATGGCAATACTGCAAGTTTCAGGGGAACATTTCATGGGAAAAGGAACTTAGAAACTTGAGAAACTACCAAATTTACTCAGAAAAGATTAGCTCTCCTGCTGAGTTTCTGATAGGTGCTATAGAAGGAGACAACAGGGAAGTATTTATGGCTGTCATTCTCTTCTAGTTCCTGGCTCAAGTTGGAACAAACTAGAAGATGCTTCTGTATAAGTCAGATAACACCAGGCTCCAGGGACATCTAGCAGCTAAAAATTAATGAACTGCAGCATGCTCTAACAATATTCCTTCCTGCCTCCATCACACATGAGAAACTGTCACAAGGTTTATGTAACTGGAGTTTATTCTGATTTTTAAAAATGGTTAATGAGGACTTGCCATTCTCCATGTCCTTTGTTTCAGGGCAAAGGAAACAATAGAACAAGGATAATACACTACATTATGTTTTCTATGTCCACAATAACCAAAATGATTTTTTAAAGGTTAGAAGAACTCAGGTTTTGGATCAACTGGACTCATGTAATGTGGACTATGAAAATTGCTATGCTGATCTACATCCTGGAAAACCTTACTAATTTCCTTTGTTTGTGGGTTGGTTGATTGATTGATTCAGCATACAAGATTTAAAGGATAGAAAGTGTTACAATGTAATTACAATCTCATTTATTATTAACCATCTCACAGACATATGAAAGAAGATGGTGATTCTTTAAATTTCTCACAGGATTAGACAGGTTTCCACATCCTAATCTTAATTTCCAAATCTCAATGTCTCTTGACATTCTTAATCTTAATTTCCAAATCTCGATGTCTCTTGACATTCTATTTGCTACTTTTCCTAATTTTTTAAATATTTACAGGAGGAGCAGACTCAATATTCACAGCAATGGTCACACTAGTGCTTCACACAACTTGTTTAAAAGCTGAAGGTCAGGTTGTTCCTACCACTTTTTAACAACATTTTACTCTCAAGCAACTCTAGCATTATTTAAATTACAGCAACACATAAACCTGTGCCTTGACTTCAGCTACACTAGAACTTCATAATATTAAATCAATGCCACCAAATCCAGAAACCCAGATTAGGCTTTTACTGGCTGTCCTGGTTTCAGCTAGGATAGAGTTAATTTCTTCTCAGTAGCTGTTAGATTGCTGTGGTTTAGATTTGGAATGAGAATGGTGTTGATAACACACTGATGTTTTGCGTTTTCTCTAAGTCACGTTTGTCACATCTGTCCTAAGACCAAGATCTTTTTTCTTGTCTCATACTCTGCTAGTGAGGAGGCATGCAAAAGAAACTGGGAGGGAGCACAGCCAGGACAGGTGACCTGAACTAACCAAAGGGATATTCTACACCAAGAACATCATGCCCAGTATAGCAACTGGGGGGAGTTACCCCTCAGAAGT